CTCCCTGAAGTTATTACTTTTAAACACTGGCACGGACCATCCATCCATCCATTAGCTACACCGCTTTTCTTTAAAGGGACACGCGGGGGCTTGAGCCAATCCCAGCTGACATTGGGTGAGGGCAGGGTACACCCTGGACAGGTTGCCAGTCTATCACGGGGCTGACATATAGAGAAAAAAACACCACTCACACGCACATTCACACCTATGAGCAAGTTAGAGTCACCAATTAACCTAACATGCATGTGTATTGGACTGTGGGAGGAAGCCGGAGCGCCTGGAGAGAGCCCATGCAGGCACAGTGAGAACATGCAAACTCAACACAGAAAGGCCCCAAGCCCAGGGTCCCAACCCAGAACCTTCTCGCTGTGAGGAGACAGTGCACCTACCATGCTGCCCCGGCATGGAACATATGAAAAATAAATAAAATAATAAGCGCATTGGTCTCAGTCCAAATTCAGAATTTTGAAACTGGACCTGAATTAAATTTGTAATGGATCTGAAGGTTTTAAAAGAAACCAAATATGTAAGGTTTAATTACACTGAAATGTATATAAAATATATTTTTCATATCTTTTAAATGTGTGGACTTTTTTTGTTATTGGAAAGCTATGTGAAGGGAAAATTTTATATAAATTTTAAATGAATGTTATTATGTGTATTATCATGCTAATTAGCTCAGAAGAGATATTATATATTTTTTTACAGACCTATTTCCTCAAGCACATATTAATATATTAGTGACAGAAATAACCCTGGCCCTGTGTGAGATCCTGAACCAGCAGTTGAGGAACAAAAATAATGTCCGCTATCTGAAGAACAAGTAACTGTAGCACGAGAAACTTTCACACTGTCGCTGCATTAGCTGCACATGCACTTTTTCACGTGAGGACTGACATTGCCTTTAACTGCGTCAAGGCAAACCCCTGTTTCCATGTTCACTCTCCCCCAGTCCATAAATGACATGGCTGATAAGTATGTGAACAGATCAGGGCCTTGTGGTGATGGACCATGTCGACAGGGTACAAAGATGCTACTGCTAATGGAAATACCAATGTCAGCTGCAAGAAGAGAGCACCTCAGAGAGGGGAGGTGCAGAGGCGGACGTGAGTTTAACACTTACTCAGAGGAGAGTTAAGGGGAGGACTGCAAGAGGACTGTAAGGTTGTTTACTTAAGTGAAAAATAAAATACCTTTTACAGTCAGTTACAGTCATTTGCAATAGAATATAAAGACATCACCATTCAAAAGTTTAAAAAACATGATGATCCTGAGAAAAGAAATGCAACAAAAAAGAACAACATACAAATAAAAACTAGAATTACTACCTCCGCCACTCAGACTAGTTTCAGGTTACATCCCTGTTCTATCCAGTCATATAAAATATGAACCATTTGTGTGTCATAATTGCAGTACGATGTCTTGAATAATGGCTAAAAAAGTTTTTTCTGAGGTCTCTGTGACCTTGACCTTTGACCTTTGACTACCAAAGTCTAATCTGTTTGACCTGGAGTCCAAGAGAACGTTTGTACCAAATTTGAAGGGACTCCCCTTGAGGAGTTCTGCAGCTATTGCATTCATAAGGCCAAAATCACATTTTGTGAGGTAACCGTGACCTTGACCTTTAGCTACCTCAATCTAATCAGTTCATCCTTGAGTCCAAGTAAACATTTGTGCCAAAGTTGAAAAAGTTCCTTAAAGACATTATTAATTTATTGTGTCTATGAGAATGGGACGGAGGATGCTGTCACCGGCGTGGAGGCATGAAAACATGCAGATCCTGAATTTTTTTTTTTTTAAAACAACACACAAATAATAATTTACTGAATGGGAAATAATATCCAAAACAGTGAATGATGTTAACTGTGTTCACTTCACTGCAACTGCAATTAATTAATTCCCCTTTTTGAGTAGAAACTAAAGTTTTTATGCAAATTTATATCTAAGTCAAAAAAAGATATCAAACTGAATGATTAATAAGTGAAATAATTATACTGACCTACCAATGAGCACACTTATGTTCAGATAGTCAACTCGAAACAAAAGAAGACACTACATCACTCTGGCTCCCTCTAGGGGAAGATGTAAAATCCCCACTGTGCAGTGATACGGTTCGTTCATGCTGATGTTGAGGCCCATTCAGACACAGAGGGCCCCCAAAATAAGCATTAAAGGTGCAGTCACGAGTAAAAAACATCTTTTTGAAGTGTCTCTTTTTTACTCATCTATATATTTTTAGGTGGGATTGTTTCAAATGCAATCACAACTATATGTTCTTCTCAGGTTCAAAACGTCTTTATTTTTTCACTTTCAGTTTTTTGATTAAACATAACTCATTCAGGTGAAAGATGTTTCATGTATAATGTCAGTAGGCCTACATTATGAAGTAACTAACAAATACAGGCAATTTTCCCTTGATTCTTAAAGGTTCATCACACTAAGACGTCCTGATAGAAGCGGAAGTTGGCAATATTTAGTTCACTGAGGAAAACAAGGCAGAACAGCTCTCATGTAGACCTGCTGGCGCTCATCTGCAGACCCATGTTTACTTTGCAGAGAAGCCTGGCTGCTTCAGTACTTTCCTAATTGAACTTTATTAGCATTTTAGGAAGTAACTCTTACATGCAGGTCTCTGTTTGTCAGTGTATCATAAATCATACAGCGGCTTGAATGTTGCAAACAGTGCTTTTTTCACTTCCTGTCCCAATGGAGAATCAACAGGAGGGCTAAACACAAGACATTTTAACTGTTGTTTCCCATGGATACACATACATATATCATATATCTTTTTTCTTTTTTTACAAATCCCTTTTGTGTGGTCAAACATTGTTCATAGAATGCCCACATAAGTGTATGAAAAGGCAAATGAACATTATTGTATAAAATGAAATTTCATTGATTAGAAAAAACAAAGCAAAACAAAATAAAACAAAAAACAGTCAGACTGAGGTAAAATGGCTGAAATTAACTCAGAAATGACAAAAAAAATACAGTACAGAGGGAGAAAAAACACATATTCAAGGCATTTTCTATTGTTTCTCAGCAGGTGGCAGCAGATGCCAACAAAACTCATCACACACACACACACACACACACACACACACCCTTGTTTAATGGTATTTGTGAGGACCCCTGATTGACACAATGCATCCAACCCCAACCTTGACCTCTGACCCTTAAACCAAGTGTTAACCCTCAAACGGCCCTTTAAACTTGTAGGGTCCAGCAGTTTGGTCCTAACGAGCAAAAGAAGCACACACAAACATACACATACACAAGAAAGAAGCCAAAATAAATCTAAATAAAATAGTTTAAAAAGTATTTCATTTATTTAGTTAGTTGAGAGTGTGTGTAATTTTACACAGAGGAATCATCAAACAAGCTGTGTCCGTAGGTGAAGCTGAAACCAGAGAAAGGAAAAAGATTAGTGTGATTTCAAAATAAAACCTGTTACATTTGTAAATTAAGGCTGTGGGATGTCAAACATTATCGTATCTTAGACCAAATACCTGAGTACCATTATATGTTGATATAATCTGATATAATTTTAGGAATCAATACTTTGGGAATAAATCGACAGTCTTTCTTTCTTTCTTTCTTTCTTTCTTCCCCAAAATTAGCACATAAAAGACTGTATACCTGAAGTACACATTTTAATTTACTTAAACACAGTATTTAAATGTAGAAATACAATGAAATATTTCAATGGGAAATGTTTTTATTGTATTTTATTTTATTTTTTACTTTAGTTTATTTTGGCTCTTTTACTACATGATCAGTCAGACATGTCACCACTTACATTGGTAAGTCTTTATGTGGTATATTATGTGGTATATGCCATAACTGTCACTATACTGTTACAATGTTTTTTTCACATAAAAAGTCACACTGCTCACCTTGACTTTTATTTACTCCATTATCCATCACATATGTTGTACCTGTTGATAATCTTTCGATTACTATATTGTGTAAATTATCCATATACATGTAATCAATGCAGTTTGTATTCTGTTTAATATTTATTTCTATCCATGAAGTATTAAAGGTTTTCTAAATCCATTATTTTGAAGACGCCGTGCTTATATTTTTGTAAAGCGCAACCGGACGTTGCATCCTCGTTCTTGCTAACTTGACACCGCAGTGACCGAGTCGGAGTCAGGAAACAAGCTGAGCCGTACCGTGCCGCGGCTGCTGTTCAACACGGAGCACGACCCGGTGTCTTCACACAGAGCTCAGCCTTTATCCGAGGATGGAAGGACATGTGAAGAGGACACTGACAGCCTGATAAATCACCGAGAGGGGAAAAAACGCCCATAATTCAGGCGGGAATCAACCGGAACCATCCGTTAGGAGTGAAGGTAGACCTGTCATGGGTATCACGGTGCTTCTGGGCAGGTAGCCCGGCTAGCCGCTCTGCTAGGCACGCAGCAGGAAGCTAGCTTAGGTAGCTAGCAGCAGCCGCCACTCACTAACTAACTAACAAGTTGTTTTGGTTGAACTGCCAGGGCCGGCACCATGAAACCAGCTCAGCATGGCGAATGATAAGCTGTCTCTGTGAACCATCTTTAAACCGCCCTTTTTATTTCTGTATTCAAGGAGAAACTGCTGGTGCTGCGGGGTTGATTGACAGCTTGTCACAACGGCTTTTCCAGATGTGGAAGCGGCGTGAAAAGTGTAGCTAGGCTGTAAGTTAGCTAGCCACAGCCGCACAAGGAATGGCTGGCTGGAACAAACTCCTGAGCGGATTCTCAACTCAAATGAACGCATCGACGAGCGATGAATTTCGTTTTGGCGGCGAGGTGTCACTGAGGTCGATACCAGCCAAGCTGACACGTTGAGCCTGCTTGCTAAGAAGAAGTTACCGACAGGGTCCAGCCGCGACAGGACGGGGCTGTCTGTCTGTCAGCCGGGCCGAACCCTGCCAGCTAGGAGGTTTTTTTTTAACGGTCAAGTGAAAGATGAAGAGGTCAGAAAATAAAAACAAGAGGAAACTGTGCAACATGGAGCAGCAGGAGAGCGGAGGAGAGGAGAAGGATGCGGTAAGTGGCAGTCATTTAGACACATTGTGTGTCATTGTGTGTGTCATTGTGTGTGAAACCTGGACAGGTTTGCGTCTCTGATCCACGATAAGCCTGTCAGCCCACGCACAGGGAACAGACATATGAAGCTGATATCAAGTAATATCATGAGTCTTTTTATGATACACACATTATTAATAATATCTTAATATATTTAACACCTTACGGCCTCTGTTAATGATTAATTTTGTCTCTAAAACGTCAAAAAAGTGACAATTCTTGTTAAAATTCCCCACAGCCTGAGGTTATCAAAAATAGTTAATGATTATTTGGCTAATCAATTAATCAACGAATTAATCAGCCTGACAGTGTGTTAAGTACATTACAGGCTGCTTATGTGCAAAATTGAATGTAATAACTAAAGAATAAAGAATAGACCTTCCTCTGTTCCTGCAGCTCAAGGCTGTGATTGACAGGCGGAAATTTCACAATTGGTATCAGAAGTCGATAAAATTAAACTATATTTTTGCTCAGTCATTGTGGATGTTGAGTGCTGGGTAATGTGGCCAGTTGAAAGTGTGTGCATGTATCTATTGAGATGCAAGGGGAAGCTAATGTAAAGCAGATCTTTGACAGTCTTGACAGTCCTGTGTTTGAAGCATTTTAACAGTAAGTAAAGGAGAACGTCTGTGTTGGTATCAACCTGGGTGTTTGTTTAATATATGGTTAGTTTCATAGTTGAATGCATTTGAACTTGGCTTTACGTCATCTGATTGTTTATAAGCAGATTTATCCTGATACTGTGTCTGCAGTACAGTTGGTCTGAAAAGGCTACCATAGAAAATACCATAAAAACACAACATAGATAGAGAAAATCAATGGAAACTACAGGAATATATCATAAACCATAAATATCATACGCAGAAGTGTAAAGGTAAAAAAACAGCATTGCAGCACTCATAAGAACAACCATTCTCAGTTGAGTTTTGTGTTATAATGAAAAAAAACAACTCAAACACTCCACCAGTCGTTTCGCTTCCATACATCTGCATCTCTCTGGTTCTAGTACACACTATTACCTTTGACACTTTGAGTTTTTGGTAATTAAAATTGATGGATATCTTGAGAAATTGTAATAAAATGTGGTGTAAAGGTGGGTCAGGGAACAGTTTATTAGTTTTTGCTGTGTGTAGTGGATCCAGGAACGTATTGGATGGATGTTGAAGAATCTTCCAAGCAGTACTTGGTTTAATTCAATCATTCATTCATTCATTTCACTATCACTATGAAAATCAACTTGGAGAGAGTTCAGACTAGCTTGATATGAGTAACTATCACATCGGCTAATACATTTAGTCAAATAACTCATTGGTGCTTTGGTTCTGTGTAATGTATAAGATTTAGATCTCATTAGTATCAGTTTGCGATGAACATGGACATGTTGCTTTATTAATAAGAACTGTTTCCAAAAATGAAGTCATGGCTGAAGCTCATAATTTCACATTTCTGCATGAAGTCATGTTCCCCCGACCTCTGGAAGTATGATATGACTGACTCTGTAGTACAGTATTACCGCACCACCCTGTCTTTTGGGATATAATGTGAATAATAATGTAAAATGTGACCAGTTAATAAGATTTTCCCTCAGCTGTCATATTTCATAAACTTTGCAGTTATTTTAGTGTCAGAACTTTGTCCTGAAATCAGCTTAGGAGGATGAAATTTTATTTTTTTGAGTGGTTTTCAGTCGGGGGAGGGAGGTGCTGAGCTTGAGGGAGTGAACTTCATGGTATCATGGGAGGTCAGACAGATGTTTTTGTGCTGCTACTGCTGCTTTTTGTGTTTTTGTATGAATCAGTATAAAATGGAGGACCGCCAGACAGGGTGTTTTCATCCAGTGGGACTTCTACCTGTTGCTTACACTTTGCATTGCTGAGTAATGAATCATGACTTTGTGTTGGCGCTGTGATATTTCCAGGGGCTGTATGCGGGGAAAGGCTTAAAGCCAACAGGTATTTTCATTATTACTTTGTTGATTATATTTTTGATTAATCAGTCCAAATAAAAGTCCTTCAATATCTTTTTTTGTCCAACATGGGATAGAAACCAGAAAAGCAGCAAGTCCTCACATTTAAGAAGCTTGAACCAGAGTATGATTAGCATCTTTGCTTGATGATTTAAACAGCAAATCAGCTGATAAATTGATATTTTGATAAATTTTATTTCAATTGGCATAGAGATTATAAAAAATGTGTTTAATGCAGCAGATTTGGTAGAACAGGCGCTAACGTCCCACCAGCAACAGCAGGTCGCTATCATGTAAACAGAATCTGTTTAAACATCTGCTGTCTAATTTGACTTTAATTTACTATAACCTGACCTGAAGGCACACACACACACACACACTCACACCAACACCCACACCCACAAACCATCACTGGTGTTGTGTAGAGATACAAACAGCAGCTGTGATCAGAGTTAATCTGCTGGGATCTCCTCAGGTTCTGTTTCAGACCACCAGGGTCACCATGAACAACAGGGTTTTGGTGGTTACTGTTAAAGCGTTGGGAAATTAATGATGTCATTGTCATTTCCTAACTTTAGTGTGAACAGATTCAGAGTGTGTGTGTTAATATGTTGCCAGGGACAGAGCACAAACACACACAAACATCCTCTGCAATCAAGGAATCAGTCAGCTGTTTGTTTCCAGGAACCCTTTGTTTCTGACAGTTGCAGAAACTTTTCATCTATGTTCTTGACTGATATATTCAAAGTTGGACAAACTGTCAATTAGCAAAAAGATATTTTCAAAAATTGAAAATATTTTCTTTTTAGTTTTTCTGAAGTATTTTGAGAAATTTGTCCATGACAGATTTATTAAAAATTTAAATAAAAATTGATAAATGTAAAAATAAAAACATGTATTGTTTTAGTTTGTTGAATAGGCTAAATTTACAATTATCATTGAAAAATTAATTGAAATTAAAAAATAATAATCATTAAAACAAATGTTGTTCTTGTGTTTTGCAGAAGTTTTCAGTTTTAACCATCAAAGATAAATTCGGAAAATGTAGAAAGAAATAATTTTGCCAATTCTTTCCTTTTCATAACAGCCACTTTTTAGCTGTCTTGTCATGCTCTTGTTTCACACATTCTTGGAACTGGTGGCCTCGTTTTCCTTCTCTGGGAAACACCTGGAAAATCAAAGTAAAACTGAACTCACCATAGAAATAATGCTTTGTCTCTGAAAATGACTTTAATGGTTATGTAATTTTCTTTTACTGAGAAAAAGCTGTTAATAGCCAGTGGCCAGTGACTGTCAGGATCTTATCTCTGCTGAAGAAAACTGAAACCTGAAAGCTGCAGTTGCCCTTCATGGGTTTGGACCAGCTGACTGACTAACAGGGCCGTTCCTCCTGTACTCCTGGGATGTTTTCAGACAGATGTCTCTGTGGTCCTGACCTGTCCCTGTTTTATAGGTCACGGTACTCTCTGACATGGTTAAACAGGAGCAGTAAAAGCAGTGAAGTCCTCTACACACAATAAACACTATCACAATGTTCCTGCAGCAGCGACTGGCATTTATTGCAGCTGTGTGAACAGAAAGCTGCTTCCTACTCCTCATTGTTTACTTCAGCTCTGAACGTTTGCTGTGTTGCATTCACCTGAAACGGCAGCTTCAGCACAATCAAACTCTTAACTTCAGCAAATAATGGAAGGTGGCCCTTCTTTGTTTAACTTATTTGGGTATTCATTTGCATATTCCTGCTTTTTGCTTCAGTCTTTGTTTTCTTGTGTTTTTTTTCTTCTTTAGCCTTTTATTTTTATTTGGACCCTCCCGTCTTTCTTTCATGAAAGATTTAGCTCTTTTGAGGTCAAGGTTGGTTGTTTAACATCACTACTTTTTGAATGCAAAGCTGTTAATCAGTGCACGGTGAGATTCTTAGTCTTGTTAGTCTTCTTAAGGCAGATGTTGCCTGATTTAAATTATAATTTTGTTGTATTTATACAATATTTAACAAAATATAAGAACGTTTGGAAAAATATGTTTATACCCAGGAATGTAAGTAAATTGGAAAAGGTGTAATGTTTAAATTTATTCAGTTATTTCGACTTATTCCACCGCTGTCTCCCCTCCCGCATCTCCTCCTGCTCTTGATATTATCTTCCTTGCAATCAGACACTGAACTGATGTAACACCACCTCATAGTATTGCCTGTGTTTCATGACTTTTGCTGTATTCGGTGCAGTGCAGAGCATCAGAGCTTTGTATGAACAAGGATGTGCAGTGTCATTGATACCAGGCCCGAGTATCATCCAACCGCAGAGCTGCAGCAACAGCAGGTTCAGACCTGCACTTACCTGTGTTACAGGGTTTATATTTTATATTAGCAACGTAAAACAGTAGAGAGACTGTGGAAAGGAAATAAAAGGGGGTTTCCAACAACATTTTATTCATGGAAATAAAAGAGGAGGGGGTACAGAATTGAATATTTGAAGTATAATCTTGGCTGTTTATGGGCAGTATATTTACTTTCATTGCCTGTTGGTGGCACAAATGTTAAAACAGCTGTTAGTGTCTTTGCCTGCAGGTGGTGATATGACATGCCTACATCTACGTCTAAACTGTTGCTGCTGTTGCTTTGCTTTCTTGTAGGTGGCACAGGTTGGCAGGGCTAGACCTTGTCTAAAGTGTAAAGATGCTGTGATGTCAGCTGCGATGGTCGTTTTTGCATTTGGTTTCACTGAAGAAAATATAAAAATGATGATGATGTGATTTTTGTTAGGGCTTGAACCAAACAAACATGTTCCTTTACTTCTGAAGAATAAGATTTGTAGTCCGGGGCGTCTCTGTAGCACCACTACGATGCTAACGATGTATAACAATGTGGTGACATTTGTGATGGCGATTTTGATTATATATCAAGTAATTGTGCAGCCCGACTTGGCCGATATCTAAAATTTTATATCTTGGCAGAGTCCAGCCCAAACGTTGCGATGTATGATATTATTAAAAATGT